CTTTGTCCACTCTGGAGGGCGCCATCAGGGGCTCACTATATCTGTGCGTGTGTGCTAAGTCCGACTCTTCGTGACCCCGTGGACTGTAGCCCGCCAGGCTCCTCTGTCCATGGGATTCTCCAGGCAAGAATCCTGGAGTGGGGTGCCATTTCCTCCTCCAGGGGATCTTCCTGACCCAGGGACTGAACTGACATTTCTTATGTCTCCTGCATTGGCAGGCAGGTTCTTTACCACTAGTGGCACCTGGGAACTCCCATCATATGTATTTATATCTACAAAGAGACAGATAGATGGATAATTTTCTTTATCTACTCATCCACTAGTGGATTCTTAGGTTGATTCTGTGTCTTGGCTGTTGTAATAACGCTGCCATGAACATGGGGGTGCGGATACCTTTTCACCTTAGTGTTTTCCTCTCCTTCAGATAAATAACCAGAATTGAAATCGCTGGATCGTACAGTGTTGTATTTAGTCTTTCCAGGAAACTTTGTATTGTTTTCCACAGTAGCTGCACCAATTTACGTTCCCACCAACAGTGTACAAGGCTGCCTTTTCTCCATATTCACCCCAACACTTGCTATTTGTGGTCTTTTCGTTGACAGCTGTGACAGGTCTGACAGGTGTGAGGTGCTGTCTTTGTGGATTTGATTTGCATTTCCCTGATGACTAGTGACGTTGAACCTCTTCTCATGTACCTGTTGGACATCTGTATGTTTTCACCGGAAGAATGTCCACTCAGGTCCTCGGCCCATTTAAAAATGAGATTTTTTTCTTTTTGGCTATTGAGTTATGTGAAAGTGAAAGTCAAAGTGAAAGTCACTCAGTCGTGTCTGACTCCTTGTGACCCCATGGACTATACAGTCCTTGGAATTCTTCAGGCCAGAATACTGGAGTGGGTAGCCTTTCCCTTCTCCTGGGTATTTTCCCAAGCCAGGGATCAAACCCAGGTCTCCAGCATTGCTGGCAGATTCTTTACCAGCTGAGCCACCAAGGAAGCCCACTGAGTTATGTGAGTCCCCTTTTAACCATTTTCAGGGTACAGTTCAGTGGCATTAAATACATTCACCCTGTTCTATATCAGTTATCACTTCCCACTTCCAGGACTTCCCAGGTAGCGCTAGTGGTAGAGAACCCGCCTGTCAATTCAGGAGACATAAGAGATGTGGTTTGATCCCTGGGTCAGGAAGATTTCCTGGAGGAGGGCATGGCAACCCACTCCAGTATCCTTGTCTGGAGAATCCCATGGACAGAGGAGCCTGGCGGGCTACAGTCTATGGGTTGGCAAAGAGTCGGACAGACTGAAATGACTTAGCATGCACCCCTAGCTTTTACCCCTCTCAAACAGACTTTATATTTTAAAGCCGCTTTAGGTTCAGAGTGAAATTGAGGGGAAGGCACAGAGATTCCCCACACACCCCAGGCCTGGGCTCCGTGAGCTCTGCGGGGCGGCTCCCTCACTGCCCGCAGTCAGGGGTGACCGCGGGCGGCCCCTCCAGCTGACGCCCTTCCTCCTGGAAGCTGCCATGGTCCCAGTGCCGAGGGCAGTGCTCTGGCTGACACGAAGACCCCACCAGCCAGGATGCAGGGTCAGGAGAGGAATTCAAAGGCCTCTGCAGGTTTATCTGGCAAAGATCCCAGGCCTCATGGAGGCCTTTTTAAATGGGGTCCTGGTGAAAAATGACGCCCCGAAGGAAGTTACCTCCCTGCAGAGGTGAGGCTAACTGATTAGACAACCCGACACACAAATCCATTTATGCCTGGCTTTTTTTGTTTGTTTGTTTTTATTTTTACTTTCTAGTTGGGAGAAATAACATCAAGTTTGTATGCAGAGGGGAATAACCCAGTGGAGACTTTAACAATTAGCATATCACCTAATGTATTGACCATATATATTTGCCTTCCACCTAACAATCTGAATTTACAAATGCATTTCCCCTAAAAACTGGTTATGTATTTCTGACTCTAATCTCTCAGTGTCAATACTTCCACCGGGAACTTATCATCTTAGCAATTTGATTGATGATTAAACTCTTTCCTGGTATTTTCTAGAACCTATAGTAATCATGCTTTTTCAATAGAAATTTGACTTCCTTTAAAGAGCTTTACAAATAGACATTAAGCAGAAATTAACTACCATTATGTTTTAGCAGTAAGAAAAATCACTGCTGACATCAAAATCAAAAGGAAACTCATGTCCAGGACAGACTGAGTCCTCTCCTGATATATCAGCTACTACTGATTCGAATCTGGTTGAACTCTGTAATTATTTGAAGTTCCAGTGATTGAGGTCTGCTCTTGATGCTGACCAGGTGGGACATCGCTGTAGAAGCTGTGTATTGTAGTAGGCATCTGGCTGGGGGAAAGACAAGCTAAAACCCACCCAGAGGGGGCATATTTTCCTGCCATGTAGGAGAGGGTGATGGGAACTGGTGGTGGCTCAAATGTGAGTGCCTGCCAAATGCACCTGCCAACACAGGAGACGTGGGTTCGATCCCTGCGTGGGGAACATCCCCTGGGGGTGGAAATGGCAGCCCACTCCACTATCCTTGCCTGAAGAATCCCATGGACAGAGGAACCTGGTGGGCTACAGTCCATGGGGTCACAAAGAGTTGGACACGGCTGAGCACACACACCTGCACAGCCCACGATGAGGGCAGGGGGCATGAAACAATGTTGAGGGCTGATGGTCTACAGACGGGAAAGAAACTAACGGTGTGGAGCTTTACTGCAAAAGGATTTCAACTTGATTCGTCTCTTTCTTCCCTTTTTTGGTAGCTAATATTTATCTTGAGTCTCACATGCCAAACACCATGGTAGGCAGGATCCTTGTGTGACCTCAAGAGCACTGATGAGCTCCATGCAAGACAGGCGCTAGCATCCAGCCCACTTCCCGGATGAGGAGACTGAGGCTTCAGGCAGGACCCCTGCCAAGGTCACAGCAGGCCCGCTTGATGCAAAGCCAAGCCCTGCCCTTTGCCTTTGGCCGCTCCTCATGGAGATCCAGGCCCTGCTGCTCAACGGTGCATTTATTTTTCACCCCAAGTTTATAGACATTGTGTGTATTTTCAGATAAAAATAGACTCTTTCTGGGAGGCAGCCAAAGCGTGATGAGAAAGTATCTTGAAAATTGCCAAGTGTTACAAAGAAGGTTTTTTAAACAACCTCATTATACATTATTGGACAAAGTGTAATTGTTTCTATTATTAGTGGACATGTCCTAGAATTGCTTTTTTGTTTTTCTGCAGAAGGACTGACTTGGGGGTATGTTGGAAGGGAAAGAAAAAAAAAAGATTGCTCTGACCAGCACTCCAGACAGAGGATATCTGAGTCTTATGCAGCAGGTACCTGTACTGCAGATGACACCCCCCTTATGGCAAAAAGTGAAGAAGAACTGAAGAGCCTCTTGATGAAAGTGAAAGAGAGTGAAAAAGTTGGCTTAAAACTCACCATTCAGAAAACTAAGATCACGGCATCCGGTCCCATCACTTCACAGCAAATAGATGGGGAAACAATGGAAACAGTGACAGACTTTATTTTGGGGGACTCCAAAATCACTGCAGAAGGTGACTGGAGCCATGAAATTAAAAGAACGCTTACTCCTTGGAAGCAAAGCTATGACCAACCTAGACAGCATATTAAAAAGCAGAGATATTACTTTGCCAACAAAGGTTCATCTAGTCAAGGCTATGGTTTTTCCAGTGGTCATGTATGCATATGAGAGTTGGACTATAAAGAAAGCTGAGTGCTAAAGAATTGATGCTTTTGAACTGTGGTGTTGGAGAAGACTCTTGAGAGTCCCTTGGACTGCAAGGAGATCCAACCAGTCCATCCTAAAGGAAATCAGTCCTGGGTGTTCATTGGAAGGACTGATGCTGAAGCTGAAACTCTAATACTTTGGCCACCTGATGCAAAAAACCGACTCATTTGAGAAGACCCTGATGCTGGGAAAGATTGAATGTGGGAGGAGAAGGGGATACGGTTAGGATTAGCCTCGAAGAGAGCCTGGAGGACGGAGGTGATGTCAGTTGACGGAGCTGGAGTTGGCAACGTGGCAGGGAAGGGAGAGAGGATGGTCTGAGGAGGTAGCGGGACTGGGGAATGTTTCGAAGCAACATTTGTTCATGTGGACATGCAGGTGGGTGTGGAATCTTAGCAGAAGCACCTGGAGAGAGAGGTGGTGGGGGTAACTCACATAGGCCGGTCAGGAGGAAAGAGGAAGGGATGGAGGGGCCAGGGTGGGAGACGGGATTTTGTAAGGACGAGGACCGGAGATAGAAGAGAGGGTGAGCAAAGATCCCAACTGCTTTCAACAAGAGAACGTGGGGAGCCAAGGGGCTTCCCTTACAATGGGGTGTATCTTCCCAGGTCAGCTAAAGCACAGAGGAGACCCTCGGGATCAATGCTGTGGGTGCCATCGCAGGGAGGAAGGGGAGGTGGGGAAAGCGATTCTAGACGCACAAAGAGCCCAGATCAGAGCAAAGAGGGTGCATCCATGGGGAGGCTGTTCTGCTCTGTGGGTTTTCTCCCAGAGCCTGGGTAACGGCTACCCCTGTTGAGTGTGAGCTGAAGTTGCCATCAAACCTCTCGAACTTCTGAGTCATGGGCTGGCCTGCGGGGGCCTAGGGGAGGTGGGGGGCAGCTGGCGGTACTGGGGCCCCTCAGGGGGTGGGTGGGGGGCACGTCCAGGGCCCCTCTCCTCAGGCTCTGTAGATGCTCCTCACTGGGGGCTCACGGTGACCAAGGGACCAGCTGGAGGCCCCTTGCTGTGCCATTGCAGAAACCAAGACACTGAAAATTCTTTATTCCATAAACGTGTCTTGAGTACTGAGAGTGTTAGAACCAGGCAGGGTGCTAGGTGCTAGGTTCCGGGGTGCAGTGGGGAGCCAGGCGGCTGAGGCCCTGGCCGCCGCAGGGGGCTCACGTTTGCTGGGAGACCCCAAATGCCAGGTCATCCCCTGTGCAGAGAAGCAGCACCCAGGATGGAGAACCTTCCACCAATCTTAGTCCCGCCGCGCCGAGAGCCCGGTGCTGCTCAGATCAGACTCCAGAGGCCCGCAGACTCCACTCACGCCCGCGGGGCCTGGGCCTGGGCCAGGCAGCTCGGGTCGGGTGGAGCCCCTCTCCGTCAGGCGGGCCCCGGCGTCCAGGTGCCGCAGCTCAGCCTCCGGGGTGAGGGGCGCAGGCGGGCGAGCGGGCGGGCTGCCGCTGTTGGCACCCACGGCGCCCAGGCTGGGACAGCACCTGCCCGTGGAGCTGGATGCCTGACCCGACACCCCAGGCGGTGCTCTGCGGCAACCTGGAGTGATGCGGGGGGAGGGAGATGGGGGGCTTGCAGGAGGGAGGGGACACGTGTGTGCCTGCGGCTGACTCACACTGACATCTGGCAGGGGCCATCACAGTATTGTAATTATCCTCCCATTAAATAAATATATATTAAAGGAAAAAAAAAAAGAAACAACCTTCCCTTGAAGAGAGGGGATCACTGCCCGGTCCAGCACCTTTCTGAATGCTGGGGAAGGCTCCGGAGGTGCAAAGCCAGGAAGGCACCAGAGCCCCCATCACCTTAATCCTGGACAGGACGGCTGGTGAAAAGCCGGTCGTGGGGGAGAAGCGATTGCTTCCCAGCCCAGATGGTAACCAACCTTGGGGACCGGCCGCAGCGAGGGCACTCGGGGGGAGCTGGGTTGAAATCCAGGCTGTGTTGCCCTTGACGCCCCTGTCTGGGCAGGAGCAGCGAGGTCTGGGATGTGGGGTGCGGGGCGGGGGAGAGGCTGGAATTCAGCCCAGGCCCTGGGACTTAGCGTGTCTTCCTCTGACCCCGCTGTGGCCCCCACCCCCGGACGCCTCTAATCTGCAGGCTGTGTTCTCTGGGACGGCCCCTGGGGGACTGAGCTTTCTCCCAGGGCTGGAGGGCCTTCCTCTGCGTGTGCTCTGGGAACATCCCAGCTGAGGGTGTGTGGGGGTCTCCCAGGGCCCTCCTGTCCTTCCCCGCAGGCCCGGGGGAGGTGTGGTCCCTGCAAACCTGCGGCTGAGGCCTCAAGGAAGCAGAGAGGAGAGGCCGTCTTGGCGCTCACTGGCAGAGGACAGAGTGTTTCCTGTGCACTTCTCCGGGCATGTTCTGCGAGCCTGGTTTGCATTCAGTGGATATTTTTCTTGGCTCGTCACCAAAGCACAGCTTGCCTGGAGGTGGAAGAAACCAATTTGTTAACAATCGTCAGAAAAAGAAGAGGCTGGGCGGGTAGCAGGCAAATAGAATCCAGAGGCAAAAGCCCAGCCAGCCCAGAGAGAGGCCTGGGTCCAGGCCCTGCTTTTGCCTCCTCCTCCGGCCCCTCACCCTCACCCCTGCAAGTCCTCCTCCTCCAGGAAGCCTTCCAGCCCTTCTCCTCCTCGTGATCAGCTCTCTTTGCTTCTTTGCAGGAGGTGTCCTCCACAGCCACGAGCTGGATACATCACTTTGATTTGCTTTCGTGCTTGTTAAGATGGTACAACCCTGCTTGAAGCTGTCTGTGCTCAGGCCACTGGGGTCCATGTTTCCTAAGCCCAGGACACCTGTGACTCTGTTTCTCTTAATAGTCTTCTTCTTCTTTTTTTTAAAGCAGTTTAGGTTCACAGCAAAATTGAATGGAAGGTACAGAGATTCCCCATGACCTCTTTGTACCATGGCCTCTCCCATGAACCACATCCTGAACCAGATGCTACATTTGTTTCAGTGAACCTCCACTGACAAATCTTAAGGCTCACTCTTGGTGTTGTGCACCCTATGGGTTTGGACAAGTGTATAAGGATGTGTATCCACCACTATAGCATCATTCAGAGTATTCTCATTGCCCTAAAAACCCTCTATGTTTCACCTCTTCATCCCACCACCCCTCAATCTCTGAAAACCACCGATCTTTACAGTCTCTATAATTTTGCTTTTTCCAGAATGTCACAGAGTTGGAGTTACACAGCATGGAGACTTTTCAGATTGGCTTCTTTCACTTTGTCCTATGCGTTTAACGTTTCCCCATGCCTTTCCATGGTTTGATTTTATCATTGAATAATATCCCATTGTCTGGAGGGACCACAGTTTATTTAGCCATTCACATTCTGACAGACACCTTGATTGCTTCCAAGTTTTGGCAAGTATGAACAGAGTTGATAAAAACATCTGTGTGCAGATTTTTGTGTGGACCTAAGTTTTCAACTCCTTTGGGGAAATGCCAAGGAGTATGATTGCCGGACCGTGTGGTAAGAGTATGTTTAATTTCTAAGAAAGTGCCAGAGTGGCTGTACCATTTTGCATTCCCACCAACAATGACTGAGACGTTCCTGCTATTGTACATCCTCACCAGCCTTTGGGGAAGTCAATGTCCGGATCTAGTCATTTTCCTAGGGATGTGGGGTATCTCCCTACTGCTTAAATGTGCATTCCCCTGACAACACATCATCATGAAATGTGCCTGCTTGCCATCAGAGCACCTTTTCTCTCACACAGTGACAGTGTTGTGCTGGGCAGTCATTGGGTTCTGAGCATTGGACTTGCTCTCTTATTCCTCATTCTTGAACTTAGGAAGAGCGCTTGCTGCAGGCAGGCTGTGTCTCCCAGGTCAGAGCTTGACCCTGGAGAGTCTGGGCACCGCGGGGTAAGAGCATATCTGCTTGTGTGATCACAGAGAGGCTACATCACCCACCTGAGCCTCAAGCTCATCACCTGTGAAGTGGGGAGACTCCCAGGACCTTCTTCAGAGAGTTGTTTCCAGTAGTAAACCTGTATATAGAATAGCTCTGAGCCTGGCACACGGGCAACCCCAGGAAAGATTAGAGAATGGTGACCGACACTGTTCCATTTGCATCTTGGAGGAAGGACCAGCTTCCATTAGCCCAGATAACAGCTGAGCTGGGACAGGGGAGCTGGAATCAGTCTCAGTGCCAGGAAATCTGAAGCCAGCTGCCAGAGGCTGCCTTCTTGTGTCGTCTCATTACGAAGGTTTCTTTCTTTCTTTTCTAAAATAGGTGCCTAGGAGTTTGGGGTGATGAGTAGGCAGAAAAGGTTAAGACAAAGCCACCATGTCATGGCTGCAGCTCAATAAACTTCAACTCCCAGAGCAAGTATTTGGCTGGAAACACACAGTTACGACTTGAGAATTAAATGTAGAGATTAAAAGACATTACCTAATAAGGGGATTCACCCAGGAGTCAGGCTCAGTTATCAGCAAAGGGGTGAGCTGGTTAACAGAAGACTGGTTCCTGGGGTTCCTTGCTCACTTTCTTGGCTCCAGCCAAGGCCAGTCCTGGCCTGCCCTCTTTCCTCACACCATCAGCACACAATTAATGAAATGTTGGAACGGGCCCAGATGAAAAACTTGTTTAGAACACTTCCTCCCCACTTCACCAGCACACAAACATCTATTCTGGGTTTGGGCTATTTTCCAAGTTGTGTTACATGATAATAAACAAGCTTTTTTTTTTTTTAAATGAGTGAAACTTTAACTGGGTACTTTGCAAAACACAATTAAAAACATTATTTGGAGAAACTATTAAGTGGAAAAGTTCAAGATGTAAAGAATTGCATGTGGGTTATAAAAATGTTTTTCTCTAAGCTCTGTTTATTCCTTGGCATTTGGAAAGACCTGCTTGGACACATTTCTGCCCAGGAATATGTGCTTCCCATAGATGTTGGGACTTTCTTATATAGGCTATCAATAATTAGCTATCTTATTTTAAGGATAAAAAATGGGAAAAGTTCAAGAAATTGATGAGCAGGTTTACATTTGCTGAGAAGCTTAGAATTCATGACTGAAATTTGCAAAGTAAATCAACACACTACGAAGAAGTAAATTAACCCAGAATGACAAAATGAAGGGATGGTTCCCATGTAACCTCATAAATTTCCTGCTTGATACATTTCAAGTCTCTGATTTCTAATAAAATTCTCATGAGAACATACTATTGCTCCATAAAAACTCCTGAACTCTCCCCATGAGAACCGACTGGTTTATAAGGGCACCAGGGTTCAAGGCTGTGGTTTATTTATTAAAAAATTCTCAGTAAATATATCATGGTCCACTGGAGAAGGCCCCACAATTATGGGGCGGCCGTGTGTCATTCCTGCTGTCCCCAAGCATGAAGAAAAATAAGAAGAAACATGTCAAAAACTCTGAACCAGGAAAAAAATAGTAATCTTTTTTTTCCCCCTAAAGAAAGTTCTCTCTGAGTTGCTCCGGGCCTTTCTCCTTGGTGCAAAGGAGAGGGGACCTCTCACTTGGGGCTCACCTTTGCTTTAAGGAGTCTGGAGGGTTGACAGTAAGCCCGCAAGGCACAGTGTGGAGTCTTGGGGTCCTTGCCGTTTGTGGAGCACCCCCGGAGCACCCCTCCTGGGATCACACAGCCGACCAAGGCTGCCAAGTGGGTACCACACCATCTGAGAGATTTCAAACGTCTCAGAGAAGAGAGGTTTTAATATATGTAAATGTAGTCATGAAGATAAGGAGTTCGTGGCATACTCACCTCTTCCCACATGCCTACCATCTGGGAAAGTAATCTCTACTAACCTTGTGTTCCATCTGTGCCAAATACTTGGCAAAAAGCTGTATGGGAGGCTTCCCTGATGGTCCCGTGGTTAAAACTCCATGCTGCCAATGCAGGGGGCGTGGGTTTGATCCCCGGTCGGGGAACTAGGATCGCATGCACTGCGTGGTGCAGTCAAAAAAAGAAAGCCTTATGGGTCTTAGACCTCACTCGATTGTACACACGATCCTATAACACAGGCTGTTTCTGTCACCCTCATTTCAGAGCCCTGAGGGAAACTCCACGCAGAAAGGTTAACTCAGCTCACGAGGGATGGAGTGAGTGAGTGAGTGAGTGAGTGAGTGATAGTCGCTCAGTCATGTCCGACTCTTTGCGACCCCATGGACTGGAGCCCTCCAGGCCTCTCTGTCTATGGGATTCTCCAGGCAAGAATACTGGAGTGGGCTGCCATTGCCTTCTCCAATGAGGGATGGAGCAGGGACCCAAACCCAGCCAGGCAGACTGAAGTGCTGACCGCTAACCACCCGATTGGACTTGGAGGAAATGCCCACCAAGGAGGTGTCAGGACTCCTGGGGCCTTTCCAGGTCTTAACCTGCTCACCCAAGATCCTCTTTAAACAGACTCACAGGTTCAGGTCTAACAGCTGCAAACACCTGTATCGGGTTGAAAACTGTGCTGAGCTCCCCGTAGGTGGGCTGTGTCTGACCCCCGCAGCCCACGAGGGAGACCAGCCCTCTGCCTTTTGCGCCGCTGTCTTCACCGGACTCCACACTCCAGAGCTGGACCTTGTGTTTCCAGCACTTGATGAGGGGCCTGCCACATACAGGTGCTTGATGAAACGTTCTGAGAGATAAAAGTAGGTTTTGTCTCACAGCTGAGAAGAGAGGATAATGAAGATTTAAAACAACGGACTGCTTTTAAAGAGCAACCTTAGATTCACAGCAAAATTGAGAGGAAGGTACAGAAATTCCCAGATATCCCCTGCCCGACCCATGCGTCACCTCCCCCACGGTCAACGTCCCCACCAGATGGCACATTTGTTGTGACTGATGAACCAACACAGACGCACCATCACCAGCCAGGGTCCACAGCTTCCATCAGGGCTCACTCCTGATGCTGGGCCTTCCTTCCATGGGTTGGGACAAGCGTGTAACTGTGTGTATCCATCATTATAGCATCACATAGAGTAATTTCACTGCCCGAAACACCCTCTGTGCTCCGCCTGTTCATCCCCCCACCTTCTGCCCCCAAGCCTTGGCAGCCACTGACCTTTTTACTGTCTCCATATTTGCCTTTTCGAGAAAGTCACAGAGTTGGGATCACACAGAACGTAGTCTTTGCAGATTGGCTTCTTTCTCTTGTGTGTGCTCTTACTTCAGTTGTGTCCGACTCTGAGCGACCCCATGGACTGTAGCCCGCCAGGCTCCTCTGTCCATGGGATTTCCCTGCAAGAATACTGGAGTGGGTTGCCATGCCCTCCTCCAGAGGATCTTCCTGACCCAGGGATCAAACCTGAGTTTCATGTCTCTTGCATTGGCAGGCAGGTTCTTTACCATTATCGCCACCTGGGAAGCCCAGCTCTGCTCTTAACAATTATCTCTATAAGCCCTTAAGCCTACAACTGTTAAGGGCAGGGCCTCAGCTGGCTGGGAGATGCAAAGGCCAGTATAGCTTTTCAGAGCTTGTGCTGCCGCCCCTGCAGGGCGTTTGTGTGGATGACTGAAAGCAACAGATTACAAATCAACCAACTAAACTTGTACAGAAGTGGATGAAGGATGGAGCGGGCTGATGGAGGGGCAAGAGCGCCACCTACTGAGCCCACGCCACCCTGCAGGTGAAGTCCTCTGCGACCCCTGCTACCCAGGGTTGGAGATTATGTGATACCAGTGCTTGCTCTTAAAACAAAACACGGTTGTGTAGTACGCTTAACTCCATAACACACATCTAGTAACAGCCCCACACAGCACGTCTTCATTACAAAAGTCAGAAAGATGTATGGCCGTTTAATGCATTAACATGTCAGGGAATGCTCATCTGCACAGAACGGGCTTTTTGCAACTTAGAATTATGGCTAAACCTTGTCATGAATTAAGTGAGAGGAGAAAGCAGTTGGCCATTTATTTCAAACCAAAGTCAAAACGAAGCCAGATTAAGCTTTTTAGCTGATAGTTATTTAAAATAAATGACTTGAAATCCTAAAAGTTTGTATAACCTTATGAAATGCAACTTGGACCTTTGTCCACCTAACTCCATTACTCAGATTAATCACATTGCTTCCTGACTGCTGAGAAAAAAAATCTTGACCTCCAAATTCTTCAGATGTTTAAGAAAGGAAAGTGGGGTCTGAGTATCTAAGGAAATATTTATCCCGCAATTTGCAATGGCTGTGATTTAAAGCAAAGACAGAACCGGCCACCAGAACCAATCTCTTTTCCTCCGCTGTTCCTAGAAGTCCAGGGGCTTTTAGCGGGAGAGGCTGGGACCGAACATTTTGGGAATTCCTGTTTTTTTTAATCAGTCGTTTCTAAGGGTCATTTGATAATTTCTAATGATCACCCTATGAGCCTACAAGGCCTGAGAAGGGTCTCTGCCCTCACCCCACAGCACTCTTGCAGGAGGCTGACCTTATGACCCCATGAGGTCATAAGACTGTGGTGAGATGCCCTGAAGTGAGTTTATGGCTTTGGAGCAATTACTGTAAAACTTTTTAAGTCAAAATAAGCTTAAGTCTCCATGAGGACCCAGGATGCACTGGCTCTGGGGTACGTCAGCATCCTGGAGGTTGTGGTGTCCCCTTTCCTCCATGGTCTGAGGAACACAGCACCCCCAACCGCACGCGGTGACTCGGGCTCCACCCTCTCTGGAGGGCAGCTGGGACACTGGGCTTGGGAGAGGGGATGAGTGAACAGAAGGACCCTGTCCTGGGGGTGCGACAGGTCATCTCCGCTGGCTGTGAGGCCATGCACAGGGACTCTGTGGGGCAGCCAGGCTGGCTCAGTGCCTGATTCACAGACAAGGAACCAGGCTCAGAACTCTGAACTGACTTCTGTCCAGTCAGATGTTAGCTGGAGAAAGAGCAGAAGAGAGCGCCAGTCTCATCTCCTGCAGGCATCCCCCACCTCAGAGCTTCTCTCAGAGGTGCAGTGCGCTAAAGCTCATCTCTTCCAGGCATTAAAAAAAAAAAAGTGAATCTCCATTCTCTTACCACATATTCCATCTTTTAAAGTAAATTAAAGGCCCATATAGGCGAAGCTGTGATGTTTCCAGTAGTCATGTCCAGATATGAGAGTTGGACCATAAAGAAGGCTGAGCATCAAAGAATCGATGCTTTCAAATTGCAGTGCTGGAGAAGACTCTTGAGAGTCCCTTGGACAACAAGGAGATCCAACCAGTCAGTCCTAAAGGAAGTCAATCCTGAATACTCATTGGAAGGACTGATGCTGAAGCTGAAACTCCAATTCTTTGGCCACCTGATGCGAAGAGCTGACTCATTGGAAAAGACCCTGATGCTGGGAAAGATTGAGGGTAGGAGGAAAAGGGGGTGACAGAAGATAAGATGATTGGATGGTATCACTGACTCAATGGACATGAATTTGAGAAAATTCCACGAGATGGTGAAGGACAGGGATGCCTAGCATGCTGCAGTCCAAGGGATCACAAGGAGTCAGACACGAATCGGCGACTGAACAACGATAATGAAAAGACAAAACGTAGCCTTGAAATCCAAAATTCTCAGGTCTGGATGTCATTCTCAATAACACTGGTTATTTTTTGGTTGGTCTCTGTTCTCTTAGTTTCGGCTTAAAGGACACACTAACAACAAAAATCCATATTGTTTATGCTGTTCCTCTCTTCCCATCCCCCTGCCCCAGCCTTGCCAATTTGTAAACAAATCAGAAAAAAAAAAAATCCCCAGTGGGCTGGAAACCTGTCCATGGTTTGCTCCAGCTGGAAAGAATTGCGTTCCACCAAGATTTAGACCCCATTTATAATGGAAACCCTGACGGGCAGTGTTGTAATTATAGTCTTGCCGTAATGAATGTATCTCTGTGGTCAGTCGTGGATTTTTCCATGGTATTTTTCCATGGGAGATTTCCTCCCTGGGAGATGTTAACTTAAAATCTGGACTATAGCTTTGACTTCAGAGCAGACTTCTCCTGGCATTGGCGGAGCTTAAAGTCGACCATCATATTGGCTTTGGTAGATAGCGTTAGCAAGGGGGACATTAGTCAAGTTGAGTTTTGCAAGATTGATGGCGCTGGGGGATAAAGGTTTGGTGCTGGAGGACCGTATTTTGGGAACCTTGCATTGTTGCCCAGATTTTTAAACCAGAGACTGTTTTCTCTGCTGAGTGGATACATGAAGTAGAAAAAGTATCTAGAGTGGACAGGTATCAGGTTGACCAGCCGTCCCGACCGGCCCAGAGACTGTCTGGTTTAACCCCAAAATCTCACATCACGGCAAACCCACAGCCTTAGGGAAACCAGGATGGTCAGTCATCTTAAAAAGTGGGGGAAATTGAATCAAATTCTACAACTGAACTGAGTTTTAAAGTAAAATCCATTCTATGTGTCTAAAAATACTTAAGTGTCATCAGCCCTTAGCTTGAGAACTGAACTGGGGAGACGGGGAGGGGGTGCTCAGGAGGAATGAGGTCTCAATCTCACACTTGGCTCAGCACAATATAGTATGAAAAACCCAAGATGCCACCACTCTGCTTAATGATTTCTCACGCTGACCGAGCCTCGCGTCTCTGGAGGCGTGAGCAGGACAAGGCAGCTCGAGGTGTGCTGGGCATCCCAGGACACGCTGCTGGGGCCCGCAGAGGGAAAGGATGGAGAGAAGGCGTCAGGGCTGGCGTGGGAGCCGGGGCTCCCCCTCTGGGCCCCCACTCAGTGCCCTGGCCCAGGAGGTGGCCTTCTGGGTTGCTCTCATGGCCTTTTCCCAGAACTGTGGAAGCCTCCGCCTTTTAGGGAGTGGGAGGCTGACTGGGGTAGGAAGAAAGGGAAGAGTAAGGAATCAAAGCCTAGGCAAAAATGGCCAACCCCAGGGACTTCCCCAGCAGTCCAGTGGTTAAGACTTTGCCTTCCAATGTGGGGGGAAGCAGGTTTGATCCCTGGTCAGGGAACTAAGACACCACATGCCTTGGGGCCAAAACACCAAAACATAAGACAGAAGCAATATTGTAACAAATTCAATAAAGACTTTAAAAATCATCCACATCCAAAAAAAAAAAAAACTTAAAGAAAATGGCCAACACAAGATCACAAAACATGAGGGACCTCTGCACAGGGGCGAGAAGAGACACGTGTCAAACCTCCTTTTGACTTCTAAAACCAGGCAGCTTGGGACACACGTATTAAACCCACCTTTGGGGTTATAAATGCTGAGGTTTCGGGGTAGGAATAGAAGCTGTTTCTGTAAGCTCAGAGCCTTTGGTGGATGTGTGTTGTCTCTGCTGTTGTAGATTCTATAGCTCTGAGGTCCAGCTTCGAGACAGAGAAACAGGACACATTTAAAACAGCCATGTCCCTGCTTAGGGGTGACTGGTTTAGAGGCAAGCATGCTACAGTTTGTGAAAGAAGCTGAGAGCACTGCTGGGGGGAACCGGGCAGTTACTTTCAGCGCCCCCCGCCCCAGGCTGGCCTCCCAAGCCACTGGGCTGGGGCGCCCACTTTTGGAGAGTTCGTGTCCTCTCCCTTCCCTTTCTGGCAGTGGTGGTGGAGAGCGGGCCCAGGGCATTCATCTCTGTGGCTTGCTCCAGCCTGCTCGCTGTGGGTTGGCATTGGTCCTTACCAACACCAATGGCATAGCATACCCAGGGCTCCACTGCAGCAAGAGGACCCTCCTGGGGCTGGTACAACCCCCTCCTCCTGCAAGCTAGGGTGCTCTGGTTCCCGTGACTCCAACTAGAATGCTGCACACCACCCCCTTATCAGACGGTCGACCACCCTGTGAACGTGACAGAGACCACCTGTGCTCCGGGAGAGCAGGGGCCTCAGTGATAAAGGCAGGCACGTGCAACTGCTTTTACCAAAACCCACTCCCCAAACGGTTATTCAGAGGCTTTGCTTATGACAGGCACAATCTCTAGTCCTTCAGAAAAATCTAGAATTTAATTCCACTCAGGGGTGTTCACTGCTTGCTGTAAGCTGTCCGCCAGCCAGGCCTCACCAGGCAAACAGCTTAAGAAAACAGCCTGTCGCAAGGAGCGAACGGCCATCAGAGAAACATTCGTGGAGACCAAGCCTGAGTTCCTCTGCTTCTGGCGAGCCGGCTTTCCCTCCTTTGGTGGGACGTGCGGGCAGTCGAGTCGGTAGCAGGGGATACTGCCAGTCCTTGCTTTGCTTCCTACACAGCTTCAAGGGAGAAGGGAGTGAGGTAGGCTTAAAAGAAACAAGCAGGTGGGACAGCAGGTATGAGATAAACGCCCTCAAGCAAATATCTGGGGGCAGCCTGTACTTTCAAGGTTCTGGGTGATGGCCACTCACTGAAGCAGGAACATCAACAGAATATATCCAATACATGAGATTTAGCCTAACAAACAGCCGTGCAGCGACCACCGATATTCCCAGGGTGCAGACAGCAGCGTCCTGAATCTGGGACCTCATCAGATGCTCCCAGCCGGGCCACGAGTTCTGTCATTCATAGGGTCTCACAGGTTATCAGCTTCAGAGAGGCCACCTGGAGACAGCGATAGAGAAAAAGCAACGTCACTGAGCGTCCCGCAGGATCCACCCCTTCTACCCAAAGGGGCAACGGCTGGCCCGGTTTTCAAGCGCAGCATCCTTCCCAGTCGGGTCTAGCCTCTGCAGGTGAGTGTGACGGAGGGGCCGGGTCACAGAACTGCATCTGAACCGGAGCAGCACCAGCTCCCCGAGGTCCTTCCAAATCCCCGCACTGCGGCCCCAGCCTCGGTGCCTCAGACTCGTCCTCATTCCCTGTCACAGTGAGGAGTCTGGAACCTGCTGGCTCAAGCTCAGCTGGCTCCCGGAGGTCCTCCCCTGAGGACACGTGCAGTGCCATCTCCAAACGTCACACTCGGGCTCTGCGCGTCCTGCCCACGGAGATCCAGACGAGGAGGATCTCCCTCCAGTGACCGCTTCCTCAAGGTCACACAGAGCATCCAGTTCTTGCTGAGCCTTCGATGTGGAGGGGAAAGGCCAGAGGTCCCGGTGGAGCCACTGATGCTGTTCTCCGCATCCTCCCGACAGATTCTTTGACCAAACTCTGCTCAGGCCCCCGAACTTTCCAGCCACGTCCTCTTCCGTGTTCCTCTCTGCATTGTCCACTTTTAGCATGAATCCTGCTAAGTCAACTTAACCAGAAGCCCACACCCTCAGTATCCGATCACCTCCCATACCCAATAGGGTTCCTCATTCACCAGATCCTCTGACCCAGGGAGGATATCTGACCTCCCTGGCCTGCCTTCAGCATGCATCCTGTTACACTGGTTTAGCCAGAAGCCCCCCAAGCCCAATGTTTCCTCTTTACAACTTTTCACCCACGGAGCCCCACCTGCTGCTCGGCTGTAAACCCCACTTGTCCACACTGAGTTCAGAGTTGAGCCAGTTTTACACGGAGGCCTCTTCCCCTGTGGCAACAGCTCCTGAATAAAATCTGTTTTCACCATTTCACCTCTGTCCAGCTCTGGTTTTTGTCTGACTCTCCGTCTACGGGACAGAGGCCTGAGGTGTCCTGAGGCTTACAAGGGATTTCATAAAATAATGCAGCTAAAATACATTTAAAAGAAGAGTGATTAATAACCACTTAAGTGTTATTAACCGAAGAATAAAATAGGACTCTGGGTTTTACCCTTGAGTTTACTGGGGAAGCCACAGGAAGGATCATAGCGTTTGTCAGGGGCTTCCCTGATGGCTCAGGGTAAGGAATCTGCCTGCAATGCCGGAGAGTCAGGTTGGATCCCTGGGTCGGGAATATCCCCTGGAGGAGGGAATGGCAACCCAAAATCAGGCGATTGTGAAGGAAGCTTTATCTTGCCTCCCTCTCGGTGTTAGAGGACTCCTATGCGAATGTGTGGCAGTGTGGTGCTTGCAGGGGACCTTAGAAACAATGTAATCCGGCTCCCTCGTTTTCCCGCTGAGCGGACAGACGTCCAGAGCCGCTGTGACACAGTCAGGGGTGGCGGTGTTGGAAGTCCCCCCCCCCAGTGACCAGTGTGGATCACACACTGGCCGTGCTCAGCGGAGGAAACCCGCCTCGGCCGTCAGCCTCGCCCTGCGGCCGCAGTCCCCGGGGGCGTGCACTTGGGGGTGGACGTGAGGCAGGGCGCGTCTGCAGGCCTCGGGCCCACCTCGGGCAGTGGCCTCTGGGTAGCAGCCGCGACGGGGCGACACGGGGACTCCCGCTGCCCCCGCAGCCCTGAGCCGTCCCGGGCCCGGCTGCCGGGCTGCCAGCGTCCTCCGGGGCCCAAGATGGGACTGATGTCGGCCACGCTGAGGGGAAAGCGCTCGGGGGCTGGCTGGGCCGGGCTGCCCGACCCCAGACCCCTCCCGGAGAGGGGCGTCGGCTCCCCGGGGGAGGGAAGTGCCCCTTCGGCGGTGGTGCTGAAGTACAGCGTGGAGCTGGCCTGCCCGCCCCTGCCCCCCGGGCGCCCCTCTGCACCCCTCGCCCCCGGGGCAGCCCCGGCTCCCTCCTCTGAGCCGCCCTCCCGGCCTGCAGCTGACAGCTGCTGGGCTGGAGCTGGGTCAGGACTCTCGCTGGCAAAAGACAGGTAACTTGAGGTCTCATCAGCCTCTGCCTTGGGGACTGCTGGAAACTCAGAGCCTTCCTCTGAGGTTAGAGGGTCCTGGGGTGATGAAGGGGGCTCCTGCAGTGGGGGCGTCCTCTGCCTGCTGTGGTGTTGGCTCAACCCCCACTCAGGGGAGGAAAAGCGGGCCAGGCCATCTTCTCCAAAGACTGCATTGATCTTTGACACGTTCCCCGTCTTCAGAGCCAGCTTCACCAGCAGCCAGTGGTGGTGGCTGAGAAAAGAGGCCTCCCCTGCTGTCTGGCTTTCTAGCCCAGCCTCTGGGGGCGCCCACTGTGGGCTGGGGGGCTTCCCCAGGCTTGGGAGCTCATCACTTTCCTCTGGGCAGGTCCCCAGGCTGCCTGGTCCCTCCCCGGCTGGGCCTGGGGCTTGTGGAGAAGAGTCTTCTTCTGCTTTATCACCCTCTGTGGGGCCACAGGATGTGTGTACACAGCCCTGCCAGATGTCTGTGGATTTCGGATGCAGCAAGCTGTAGTAAACGACCAGCGAGACAGTGCCTGCAAAACAAGAGGGAAAAAAAAAACACACAAGGTGACGTTCTTTGAAGTCCTGCATCCTCCCTGTGGTTTGCAGAATTCCGGGTTCCCCAGTTTTGAGTAGAGTAATATTATTTGGGATCCAAAACAGGACTCTTGTTGGAGCATCAGAAGTGGATATTTGGGGGAATTTATGTATGTTCCAGCTCTGATAGGGCTTCCCAGGTGGTGCTAGCAATAAAGGATCCGCCTGCCAATGCAGGAGATGCAAGAGACGCAGGTTTGATCTTTGGGTTGGGAAGATCCCCTGGAGAAGGAAATGGCAACCCGCTGTAGTATTCTTGCCTGGAGAATCCCATGGACAGAGGAGGCTGGTGGGCTATAGTCCACGGGGTCGCAAAAGAGTCAGACACAACTGAGTGACTGAACGTGCATCCATACACGTACATACACACATACACAGTTCCAATAAGCTGCAAATGTTCCTACACTTAAAAAATGTAAGAACAAAGTTTAAATCCTAGAGATTTTATGACTTCTTCCTTGAAGGAGGCTCCAACTGAGTCCTCTAGGTGTACGTGTGCATGTGTGTGAGACAGAGAGGTTTGGTAGAAAAGATAATTTCACTTTCAGAAAACCGGGTCAAATACTCAGAACACAGCCATCCACATACTGATTGATGGATTCCGAAGTGAAGGGAGAGAGAGATAAGGAATCATTTCAAAAACAAGACCCAAGCAGAGGTTAAACATACCCATCAAAACCCCCATATCAAGGAATTTCCACGAGCAGCAACAAAACTTCCTTTGTGCACAAACATCTGAACCACATTGTTGTCAGCTTCATTTATTTTGATCAGAAGTGTTGACTGCGGCAATAATTTATTTAGCAGAGCATTCCAGTAATCCTCCCACGTTATTTCCAGTTTCCTGTTGTACTGGACCAAGTGCCGGGTTTCAGGGAGCTCGTAATAAACAGCATGAAGCCTGACACGGGGGTGGCGGGCATGGGGTGAGTTTCGGCAGGGCCAGGAAACGCAGCAAGGGTGCAGCTAGAAGGAGCCCAACAGACGTCCCCTTGCCTGCTCTCAGCATCCCTGGGGGAATGGAGTCAGAACTCCTAATGGAGGGTGACCCAGTGTCGTTTCTGCAGGGGGCACGTGCTCAGGCCATTTCCACCCAGTGTCCTGAGTTCTCCGGTCAGTGGCCAGGAGGTATTGTCCCCCTTCTCCTATGAGGAGCCCCCCGAGACCAAGAAAGGGGAGCTGACCCCGTCCACAACCCATCCTGCCAGTTTCAGGGCTGTGTGTGTTCAGTGAAGACAGACTTCCCTCGAAAGCCTGCTGTTTAACTGGTTTCTTGGTAGCAGCCCCAGACTGGCATGCAGTAGGCACTCAATAAATGTTTACCCAGGCAGCTCAAGATGGAAGCCGGAGCTGCTGCGTTCAAGCCTGGGCTCCACCTCCCCACTGAAGACTCTAGTCCAGGGCACTGGACAGTCAGGGGTTCTGCTGCCCCCGGAAACTGGGGGGAAGGGCCAGCCGGCCTGGCTCTGCCTGAGCCCCTCCAGCCTCACCAGCAGGCCACCCCTGGGGTGGCCCCTGCTCTGCTTGCGGCCCTGGGTACGGCCGAGCGAAGGAGACAAAGGCTGATCCAGGCCCTCACGCCCGGGGGTTGGGGGGCGGCCTGGCCACCCTCTCAGCACAGGGCCCAGCCCTGGTCTCCACCCAGCCGCTTCCGAGCCCTGATTCCTACCCCTGGGGTGAGCTGACCGCAAAGAAGCAAGTTGCAGGAGGTGGGGTGGGGGACAGAGGGGCAGCGAAGGCGACCTTGGGGCTCACCGATCAGAAATCCAGACAAGATGCCTGCGATAGCCCCCAGGCTGGTCCACGAGGCCCCCTGGAGAAAGTCCGTCGCCAGCAACACGAGGATGGTATTTTCGAGCAGCATCACCTGTGAGAACAGGAGCGTCAGCAAGCCCAGGCTGGGCATGCAGCCTGGGCACGCTCCCGCCCGCGATCTCCTGCAGCCCCCTTCAGGGCTGGGGGCTCCCACTGCTGACCGGGCCCCCCTAAGCAGCAGGGCAGGGCCGAGCGAGCCTCTCCCGCTAAGGGCCCTCCTGTTCTCGCTGCAGCTCGCTAAGCGTCTGCAGAGGCAGAAACGCACAGGAAACGGAAGGGCACAGCTCACAAGGCTGCAGGGGTCCCTTTGGTGAGTTGGGTGGGGCTGAGAGGGACTTCTATTTGCTACTTTATCTGTTGCACAGTCTCATGTTAACTGTATACACATGTTAGTTTTACCATGTGATAATTAAAAGTACTTGCAGAGCTCACAGTGACACTGGATTCCAGCAAGAGTCACAAACTTTCATAACAATTTTAGAATTTTTTTCTTCCCCCAAATATTTGCTCAAGACACCCATCTCCTCCCATCCCTGGATACTGGAGCTCATGGTCCTTCGGGCCTGAACTGAATGATCGCCAGCTTCCTGGTTCTCCAGCTTGTGGAGGGCAGACTGTGGGACTTGGTGGCACTGTAATTGCATGAGAGAATCCCTGTAACAAATCTTTTACATATCTAGACACATCTTACTGGTTCTGTTTCTAGTGGATGCATTTGTCGGGGCCCTCCAGAGGAAGAGAGCCAATAGGATGTGAATGCAACCACTTTCCACTGACAAAGATGCTCTTCTTGACCAAACCTGACTCAGACGGGCTCCTCTGAGCGCTCTTCTTGGCCTATAAAAACTGCAGACCTGAAGCAGAAATAACTGTTTGAAGCCAACACTAATAGTATTTCCTAATAGCTCAAGCCTGCATCCCTAGCATGGTGACCCAGCCCCAGAGAAGTTCCTGCCTGAGAAAGCTTGGTGCTGCCTGGAGAACTTACTGTTTGTTCCAGAATAAACCTGGTCATAAGGCAGAGAGACCCCTCCACGCAGGAGAGCAACTTTAGAAAGCCTGCAATTATACATAGTTTCTTTGCTTGACATTTTCTGAAATGTCAGTCTTTTACCGCCCAGAGCTGTCTTCTCTAGGACCTGAGAACCAGCTCTCTAAAACGCAAACATCCCAGGAGACGACTTTCCCAGCTCTGCGTGTGTGTGAGTTGCTCAGTCGTGTCCAACTCTTTGCAACCCCATGGACTATAGCCTGCCAGGCTCCTCTGTCCATGGGATTTTCCAGGGAAGAATACTGGAGTGGGTTGCCAGTTCCTTCTCCAGGGGAGCTTCCCAACCCAAGGATTGAACCTGGTTGTCCCACGCTGCAGGCAAATTCTTTACCATCTGAGTCACCAGGGAAACCCAGCTCTAAAGTGTGTTAACACTGCCCCCTGTCATGAATACGTGGGAAGTGTGTGAACGACCCAGATGGTGTGCGGTCACTCC